CCCTTAGGTTTTAGTTTGTTTTTCCCAATGTAGTTTTTACTACTGCTTTATCTTTCCTTTATAGTTAATAGTTATAGCTTATTCTTTTTTCCTTTTGCAATGCGGTTAATTATCAAAGTTTTTGAAAAGGTGTTTTGATTAAGCAACAGAATGTTCCATGATTAGCGTTTTGTTTGCTACACTCAAAGAAATCCAACCAACTATATCAATTACTCTAATTAGTAGAAAAATGTTACGGAATCCCTGGTTCCTGTAGTTACAATTCATCTTGCAGTAAAATAGAGTCAACCAAAAAGAGTTAAGGGATGATAAGCCTAAGAAAATTAAGAAGCTGTGATATAAAACAAAAAACAGTGGAAGATCTCAAGTGAGAAACTTGTCAGATTTCTTCTAATGGTCATAGTTGAATGCTAGTTCGAATGTTTGCTCATATTCATCCACGAAATGAACATGGAGCCCTTTTTTCACATTCTCTGTTAGCTCATCAAAATCTGTCCGATTAGCCTTCGGAAATATTACAGTCTTGACTTTATTCCGTACTGCAGCCATAGTTTTCTCCATTACCTGAGGAACATAGAGGTTTTGTATATTGCAATGAACATAATAGAAATTGGATAACTAAAAGGGCTAAAACAGAGTACTTGTAGTGTGAGTGTGTGACTTACGCCGCCTACTGGAAGAATTCTACCGGTTAGAGTCACTACTGCGGTCATCGCAAGATCTTTCCTCACAGGTTTCTTCATGGCGAGTGATAGCAAGGAAGTGACCATGGTGCAGCCCGCGCTTGAATTGTCTTTTGGTGTACCTCCTTCAAGAACATGTAAATGAAGCTTAAAATTTGCAAAGAACAGATTCTCGGGTTCTTTCTCGAGCATTATTCTCGTAGCGACTATGTGAGCGATCTCTGCGCTCTCTCTCATCACATGCCTGAGCTCACCTGTTGTACGAAGACGACCTTTGCCTTTTCCTTCTTTTACAAAGGTTGTCTCTATGTACAATATCGAGCCACCCAAGAATGTCCAAGCTAGACCCCGATTGGTGTATGTTCGTAGATTTTCTCTGTAGAGAATACTAGTTTGCCTACATAATCTGCAAGGTTTGATTCATCAATCACAACCGTTTTAGCTACCCCTCCGCTCTGCTTAGTTTTTGATTCCGTGGAAGAATCCTGAGTTGTTGAGCCAAAGAATTCCATAATACAAGTCAATGTCATTCTTTTAAACTCTAAATCGGTCTTGGCCAAAGATAGACTATCATTAACATCAACCAAAAATGCAGGTGTTTCTATGTATTCACTTTCGCGTACTAGTTTAAGAGCAATCTGTCAAAACGGTCAAATAATTTTAGATCTTGGGGATTCTAGTAAATAGTTTGATACTCGCAAAAAATACAAGTAACTTTGTATCTATGTATCTTATGGTAAATCTTTTCAATATGCTTTTTGAGATTTCTAACTCCTGCTTCTCTACAGTAATTTTCTATCAACGAAAGAAGAGCTGCATCGCTCAACACAGCCTGGTAAGGGTATAAACAACTTGTTAAAGTCTCTCATAAGCTAAAAACAACAAATAGGACAACTTGCAAAAATCTTTCATGAAAAGTTGCATCAGAAATGACATGAGAATGAGTAATGGTTGCGAGTAAGACCTGCTCAGGCTTAATGCCACAATCTCTGCATGTGGTTTTCACCAAATAGTCTCTAGCAATGTGCATTTTCTCATCATCAACATACCCTGCGAGATTAATCACCTCCATTTTGTCTAGCAGAGGACCCGAAATCTCATTAATCTCATTTGCAGTGCATACGAATAAAACCTGCGATAAATTACTTTAGACCTTATGTAAAACACAAAACTGCCTATTACAAAATATCAATGCACAGAGTTTTCCTT